CATGGACCACATGGAACGGGGGGAAAATGGCCATGGACCACGTGGAACGGGCGGAAAATGGCCGCGGATCCGGTTCATAAGTCGAGGCGAGTTCACAAGTTGAGGTAAATTTTTGGGGCCGGAGCTGGTCGTATCTCGAAAAATTCGTAAGTAGGGGCGTTCGTAACTAGAGGTACCACTGTAGTTTCATTTCATCTATTATGGGATCCCACTCTGAATGGCAAACATCCTGACATTCTATGCACAGTGACAAGACTCAGTTCCCTAGAACCCTGCTCGAGAAACATTTACTAAGTGCTAAGTCCTTCGGGTCAGCATTTCTATGTATCAGTAGCAGAAATCCAGTCAGATAAAATGAGATCAAATATATCTAATGCACAGAACAGTACAAAATAGAAAGCATTAATTTAAAAAATCAAGAGGGTCCAATCTCTACAAATGTGCACTTTTGTCAATCCCAACAAGTTGCAGTCCTGATGAAAACCCCTGCTTTGAGAATTCTTTTTTAAAAATAGGCATAGTTGCTAACCACATAGTTAATGTAAAATCCAGTTTTGCTCTGTATTAGATTGTGAAACTGGTTGTGATCTCTCATCAGAGCGAACTTAACAATCCTGGTGATGAAAGCTTATGGTATGGGATCAGTATTTTCAGGAGAGGAATTTCAGCCCAATTCTTCAGTCACTCATTAACCTATCTTTGGTGAATCCCTGCAGAAAACAAGAATGCCTCTTCTATTGAATTTTCCCAGAAGTTATAAAATGGGCAATGACAAGACATACTGGTCCTGACCTCAGTGATGAGTTGCCTTCTGACCCAGAATCTTATCCATGTCTAAAACAGTATATATTAAGAGGGAGCTCAAAGCATTTTCATTGTTGTTCAACTGCTACCCCTTCCTCACAGATGAATAGAAGACAAGCAACCAACACTAGAAACAAAATCAAAACAAAACAAGCTGGTTCAAGATGTCAGTCTCATTCCTGCCCAGTAGTTGTTACCTCCTACTTCTGAAGAAAATTAGTAAAACCACCAGTTGCAAAATAAACAGGACTCTTCAAAACAGGGATTACAGAATAAGAAGCTCCCACTGGGGGTAATGCTCTTTTCTGGCACTTTCTCAACTATGTGAAACAGATGATTTTGACAAGAGGTTCACTGAGGCTGAAATACTTGTTTAATTAACTGATGACACAGAGAAGATAATGCCAACAAAATTACTTTTAATTAAGACAGAATAAAAGAATTGGACTGTAACTCTTTAGTCACTGGGAGTCAGGTGGCATATCGATTTATTATTATTATTACTATTATTATTATTATTATTTTGCCAGCCTAGGATGTTCCTCTGATGAAAGACAGCAACTTCCAGCTACAAACTGTACCACTGTGGACCAGTGCAAACAGCTGCTCAGATCAATAAGGGAATTAACAACCAGAACAAATTACCAACATTACCTTCTTGGATTCTCTAAGAAGTTTCATCTAAGATAAGCTACAGAAATTACACAAGTGCGTGCATTAATACATTTGTACACACATGCAAAACAAATTGCTAGAAAATTTGCCTGAACAATCCACCAGCAGTAGAGAACACTCTTCAACTGTAACTTTGAATGGCCTGTAGGAGATGACATAATTGCCAAAATTCCATTATATTCCACTCTCTTATGCATCTGGACGTAATTTTAAAGCAGAAGTGATATTAATTCAATATTCTTGACAGACTCCTAATTCAGCATGCCAAATTCAAAGTCAGGGATCTCTACTTCAATTTGCAAATGGACTGGCTATTTCTTCAAACTCCAAAGTCTCCAAAACATTGTACTTAAGTGAAGGAACACCATGTGCCCTTCTGATTCAGCCTATAACCTTCTAACTCTTTGGGGAGTCATCTAGAGTAAGAAGGTGTGAGAGAT